CTCCCAGACCCCTCAGCCTTCACCGCCTGCCGGAACTGACACCTTACTCCCCGCTCTCCAAGGTCTCGGCTTCCCCACAGCCCTCCCCCGTGTTGGCAGTTCGGTTTTTTTCCACACACCAGCCTCCCTGCTCCCCAAGGCCACAACCTCCGCTGAGGTTTGAGCCATGCCTTGGCCCATACCCACCTCCTCCTGGGTGCCTTCCTGACTCTACCTTGGCAACAGTCTCCCCAGCCTTCTCACCCCCATCCCAGGTGGTCTTCACCGTCCATCCATCCAGCACCTTGGGCTCTCTGTCCCTTGACTCCATCTCCAAACACCTTCCCCTCCTCTCCATTTCGGCCCACACCTCCCCCTGCACAGAACCTCTTCCCAACACCAGGAATTTGGACATTGTGCCCCCCTGTCATAATTTCCCAACCTTCTGGCCTCTTCATCCGGTGATTCCCACCCTGCCAGCACTGCCTCCTCGGCCTCACGTTCATTCCCTTCTCCGCCTTCTCCCAGGCTGCCAGCCCCTCTGGCCCACGGGGCTTCCTCCCCATCCAGCTTGAAACGCATGTTCCGCCTCTTCAATCCACCCTTCTCATCCAACGTCTCAAAATCACCGGTGTGTTTCTTTTAACTCTTTTTGAAGTTTATTTGGTGGCGGAGGGGGAAAGAGAGAGGAGAGAGAGAATCCCAACCCAACGGGGCTCTGTGCGCTCTCAGCACACAGCCCCCAATGCGGGGCTCGATCTCACAAACCATGAGATGGTGACCTGAGCCGAGATCAAGAGTCAGTCGCTTCACCGACTGAGCCACTCCTCACCGATGTCTTTCCGAACCTCGGCCCTAGAGGAGTCAACAGACTTTTTTCTTTTTTTATTAGAGAGAGAGAGAGAGAGAGAGAGAGAGAGAGAGAATGCTCATAAGCAGGGGAGAGGGGCAAAAGTAGAGAAAAAAATTTATTTATTTATTTTTTTGAGAAACAGAGAAAATCTTGCAGGCTCCACGATCGGCACAGAGCCTTGACACAGGGCTCAATCCCATGACTCTGGGATCAGGACCTGAGCAGAAATCAAGAGTCAGACGCTCAACAGCCTGAACCACCCAGACACACTCAACAGCCTTTTTGCTGAGGAGACCCCACCCTGGAGAAAAGCACACCGCCTCGGAGATTGGGCCTCCAGATCGTTGGCCACCCACGTCAGCTGGGCCCTCTACACTGCCACCAATCTCTCTGTTCTAGTGCCAAGGGGCCCGTCCTGGGGAGCACTGAGCTCCTCTGTCTTAACCCTAACCCTTCCATTCTCTCCAGCTCCTCAGGGGCCTTGAGCCACATTTCCTGCTCTCTTCCCTCCTGCAAGGACAACCTTCCTCCCTCACCCGGAAACCTCAAACAGCATCTAAGTAAGTGAAAAGCGTTCTAGTCAATCTGAGAAATACGTAGGCCATCTCTGGAGCTCATCTCCCTCCAGCTACTGCCCCCTCTCTCTCCTCTCCTTCCTAACCGGAGGTCTACACTCCCTGCCTCCCTTCCCCACCTCCTTACTCCCTGTCCTGCTGTCATGTGCCCCCTGCCTCCACCACACCTGTGCTCTCTCACAGGGCCACCGCAGGGGCCATTCAGTGTTGCTCTGACCCAGCTGACCCTCCTCCCCACCATGTTTGGGACATCACCCTCCTGTTGTGCACCTGTATCTCAGCCACCTCCTCACCCACCCCACCCCCAGGATGGAGCACCCTTAAGACAGGCCCTTTGCTCTCAACACCGACCGACCGCCATCAAATGCGGATGTCCCACTATCTACGTATCCAAACAGGTTCATCCAGCTGCCCCCGAGACTCCTCCACTCAGACGCTGTGGAGACTGCTCAGTGTCAACGCAGCCAGAACCCGATTACCTTCTCTTCAGCTCACTTCTGTGTCCCAGTCGGTGGGACATTCAGTGAATGGCTGGGCCCAGCGGGCAGTTAAAGATCAATATTTACAGAACCAGGGGCGCCTGGGTGGCTTAGGCAGTTAATGGCGGACTTTGGCTCAGGTCACGATCTCGCTGTTGGTGAGCTCGGGGAGTGCGAGCCCCGCATCCGGCTCTGCCCTGACAGTGTGGAGCCTGCTTTGAATTCTCTCTGTCCCACTTACGATCGCGCGCGCTCTCTCTCTTTCTCTCCAAGTAAATAAGTGAATTAAAAATATATATATTTGCAGAATGAATAAATCCTCCCTCATTCATCACAGCCAATCCCTGCCCCAGCCAAGACCCGCCCATCCTCTTGCTATATCCCTGTGCTTCTTGCTTAATTGAAGTTGGCTGTCCCCTAGGCAGCCTTCGGAAGGCTTCCAGGCCCCTCAGGTTCGGCGGGGCTGGGACCTTGCGGGTGTTCCCACGGCCCGTGAACGTCGCACCACCGCGCGGATCACAACGTGCTATGGGGCCGGCCCTGGTCTGCGGCAGCTGGGCTGCATTAGGGGCTCCACTTCCACCAGCGCCCGTGGCCCAGCACACACGAGCCGCTCAGTAAGCTTTACTCCTTTGCACTGAATGAATGGAGTACCGGGTGAAAGGGACCACAGCGCGCCACGCAGTCTGCAGCCAGGCCTGGCGGGCGTCAGCCCCCGCGCTCCCAGCTCAGTCTGCACGCCGCAAGCCCGAGAGCCGTCCCACGCGGCGAGCGAGGAACCCCGCCCCATTCCACGCGGCGCCCCCAACGGCCAATGGAAATGGTCTGGGGTGGCACCGCCTCTACACGCTATACTTGTACGAGCCAATGGGCGTGCCCTGCGGCGAGCGCCGCTCCCGCCGGGGCTTTGCAGCCAGCCAATGGGAGTGGCCGACGTAGCCTTCTCGGGGGCGGGGCGGGTGGTCAGGGCGCGGAGTCCTGGGACGCAGCGCGGGTCGGGCCCACTTCCCACGTCGGCTTTCCGGGCTGGTGCGGCATTCGCTCCTCACCGGCGCAACCAACCGATAATGGGGGCTCTGGGCGTCCGGCGCGGTCTGGAGTGGCTACTGGGCCTCTACTTCCTCTCCCATGTCCCCATCACTCTGCTCTTGGACATGCAGGTGGTGTTGCCGCGCGAACTCTACCCCGTCGAGGTGAGGGCGACGGTCGGTCCAGACGGCCGGTCGCTGAGTTTGGGGCCCCTCTGCGCATTGCGATCGTTCCCCGGCGTCCCCAAGACCTCCCCTCCCCCGCTCGCCGCCCAGCCAGGGTTCTGCCCCCCTTTCCCTCCCTCCCTCCCTTCTTAGGTCCTGCCCGTGCCCCAGCCTCCCCTCACCCTTCATCTCGACGTCTTGCTTGGGGTTTTCGATGGTCCGGACCGTTATCCCAAGCTGCTTGGGGCAGACACTTTGGTCGTTTTAAAGACAGTTCTTCCCTGGGTATGCGTAAGGCTCGCAACACCCCACCTCTGGTCACTTGTATTTGAGGGAAGTAGCCTGGATGAACCAGTGTCTCAATCACGTGTTGGATTTGTGTGTTCTTTGAAAGAGCTTTAAAATAACGTCTAATCCCAAAGCAATAGTGCAAGTAGCATTAGACCCATAACACAGGGCATTCACGGATCGTCATTGCTTCGGTCTTGGGATCCAGCGACTTCGAAAGCTCGTAAGTAAATTAACGACACCTTTTCAAATCAGCCCTTTTAATTAGGTTCGAGTAAGAATGATCACCTGACTAGAAATAGAGGCGAGAAACCCCCATTTCCTCGTTGTTAATGAGTATTCCTTACCCCAAAGTTTGCTTTAATGCTTTTCGTTTCTTCAGAGCCACCGTTTTATTTTACCTGGTCCTTTCACCTCTGGACCCTGTAACCTTCTCCCGTGGAGCTCCTGTCCTCAGTTCTGTGCTTCTCCACATTGTGTGCAGAACTGTGGGCAAGACTGGCTTGTCTACCTGCTTCCCTTTAGGTGCTTTTTCTCTGCAGAGCGGGGGTGGGGGGGGGTGCTTCACCTGAGGTCCCTGAACCCCTGGGTATACCATGGGGTATGCAAAACTGTGTGGGCCTTGTGGTTTCTGGGAGGAGAGTCACAAGCTCACACATACAGGGTATATTAGTTTCCCGTTGCTGCTGTAACAAATTACCAGAAACATGATGGCTTTAAACATTTGTTCTCTTACAGTTTTGGAGGTCAGAAGATGAAAATGAATCTCGCAGGCCTAGGGGAATCTTTGAAGGTCCTAGGGGAGTATCTGTTCCTTGCCTCTTCCAGTCTGGTGGCTGCCAGTGTTCCTTGGCTTGTGGCCCTATCGCTTCAGTCTCTGCTTCTGTCATCATTTGGCCGCCTTCTCTTCTGTAATCCAGTCTCCCTCTGCCCCACTTTTATACAGACACTTGTGGTTACATTTAGAGCCGACCAGGTAGTCAGCATAACCTCCCGTCTCAAGACTCAAAACCCTTACCTTAATCACATCTGCAAAGTCTCTTTGGCCCTATAAGGTTACGTTCAGAGCTTCCAGAGATTAGGAACTTTGGGGACTGTTACTCGGCCTGCCACACAGACCCAGGTAGCGCCCGCTTTCTCAGCAGGTCGCCACCGTTCTGCACCAGCCATTAGTTGCCTTGAAGAAAGGAGCCTTGTCTGTGGTTTTCAGAGTCTGTGTGGCCAACAAAACTCAGGCAGGCTGCCTGTTTAGTCTTTGGCGTGATGAGTCCCTTTAATACTGGGCACTTACATTATTTACTCCAGGTTACTCCGGACTTAACAGCTGGTGCTTTCTTGATCTCTTCTGAATATGCCGTTCCCACAGGTTCTTGCTTACCACCCCCAAATACAGTCCAAATGTGTCCAGCATCATAAAGACCCCATTTCAGCTTATCTCTTTGATTTGGTAAAGTTTTCTCGGTTTTAATGTTGACTTATTGTAAAAGGTCAAGGGCCAGTGCCAGTGGGACCTGGCCAGAGATTGTGTATGTCTGTGGCTTTCTATCTGATGCTGTTTGAAGGTGTTGGCGACACGGGGGGGGGATCCTATTTTGGAAGGGCTGTTGTCTCTCTTCACTCTTGTTGCTTTGGAGTTGAGATTGATGGTTTTGTTGCTTGGTTATGGGGAAAATAATAACAAAAGCCTTGAGGGATTCTCAGATTCTCTTTGAAAAAATGCCCAATCTTCACATCTGTTGTGTTTTTCTTCCCCAAATAGAAGGAATTTTCTCCTAGAACTAAAATGCTTGTGGAGATCCCATAATGGTTGGGGCTGATCTTCCTTGGTTTGAACCGGTCAATACTTGGAAAAACTCTTACTCTGAAACCAAAGGAATTTAGTTTGGATTGGAAGATGGAGAGGATGGGGAAGGCATTGTGCAGTATCGTTTGCAGCGGGTAGCATTGGTTCTGTTTAAGGTGAGCGTCTAGGTGTGAAATCGGCCTGTGCTCACCCTAAGGTAGAAAAGTGCGGGATTGTTCAGTGGCAATTCCTGGTTTAGAAATTCTGGTGCCAGGGGTGCCTGGGCGGCTCAGTCAGTTAAGCAACCGGCTCTTGGTTTCGGCTCAGGTCATGATCTCACGGTTCGTGAGTTCAGGCCCTTCAATCCCAAGCAGGGATACTCTGATTCTCTATCTGTCCCCCTCCCCGCCTTCCCACTCACGAGCCCGCACATGCGCGCTCTCTCTCAAATAAACTTTATCAAAGAAATAAACTTAAAAAAATGGATTGTGGCCTTAAAAATGTAAAATAATCTATTTTAAAAAATCCCTGTTTATAGGCCAGGTCAGTAGTTTAATGGACACCAATGGTAAGTGGAGTCCAATGTGTCAGGTATAGGGGTGTCTGGGTGGCTCAGTCGGTTAAGTGTCCAACTTCCGCTCGGGTCATGATCTCGTGGTTCCTGAGTTCAAGCCCCGCGTCGGGCTCTGTGCTGACAGCTTGGAGCCCGGAGTCTGCTTTGGATTCTGTCTCCCTCCCTCTCTGCCCCTCCCCTGCTCACACTCTGTCTCTCTCAGAAATAAATAAAAATTAAAAACAAAAAATGTGAGTCAGGTAATAAACCATTTTGGGGGACTTACCTAATAAGAGTAGTTCTTACGGACCAGTTGCATGCTGCGCTCTTAATAGGATTAAACTTGAATTTCTCCACATACGTGTTAAGTTCAACTAAGTAATTGTAAGATTTACTCTGTGCTTGCCATTGTTCTAAAGACCGTGTACATTAACTCATTTAATCTTCCCATTAGTGAAGGAAGTGCTATAATTGGGAAGCAAGTTCAGTGAGATTTAAGTGCTTTGCCCAAAGCCCGCACCCGGAGCCCTTCACCCAGGGGCCTGCGGTTTGCTTTCCCTCAGCCCTTAGTCCAGGTCTTTTCCGGAAGCATGCGGCTCGCAGGCGACTGTAGGCGGGCGCTAGGATCCTAATTGATGACCTACAAGAGCTGGCTGAGTTTTGCTGATCTCATCCTGGATTTATGAAATAGACTGTATACAAATGGAACAGAAAATGAAATCAAAGCAGGATGCCTTTTAAATTTCTACGGTAAATCTTGACAGCAGGTCATTCCCTCCAATATTTTTTTTTTATTTTTTTTTAACGTTTATTTATTTTTGAGACAGAGAGAGACAGAGCATGAACGGGGGAGGGTCAGAGAGAGGGAGACACAGAATCTGAGACAGGCTCCAGGCTCTGAGCTGTCAGCACAGAGCCCGAGGCGGGGCTCGAACTCACGGACCACGAGATCATGACCTGAGCCGAAGTCGGCCGCCCAACCGACTGAGCCACCCAGGCGCCCCCCCCCCAATATTTTTTAAAGAATATCTGGAGAGCAAAAAAAGGATCTCCAAAAACATTTGGCTCAAGTTGCTTGTTCCACAGACGAGGAAATAGAGCCCAGGAGAGGTGCAGCGACTTAACCTTTATGAATTTTTTTCTGCCACCTTACCATCCTGAAGAGTGCCTAGAAGGAAGCTAAGGGTATTGCTGTGAGTTTCAACTTCAGATCAAGTACAAATTAGACATCACCCGGTCGATAAGCTGGTAATCTAGCCAGAGCCTTTCTGAAATTAATATCATGCTAACAGAATGTTTGTTTCTGGATATTTGCTTAAAGCTCAGCTTCAGCAGTGAGGCCTTGGTTTCACAATGGTGAGCCTTTATCTTTTGACTAAAAATTAACAGGAAAAATACTGCAATGGAAAAAAATGGCTTTTCCACTGCAAGCTAAATCCTTACATTGGAAGTTCCCTTTATTTGCTGTAACTTGATATTATATATATATTTTTAGCTTTGGAGACAGGTGTGGCAGGACAGCGCCATCTCCAGGATGTAAACTGTGACAGACCTTTTGTAGTCCCATGTGATGCGGGGGAGCCCTACGCTTTGGGCCCTTAAAGGCACAGAATGGGCAACCTCCAACCTTTCTGCTTCCTTCCTCTGCTGGTAGCCATGGGTCTGCATCTTTTTTTTTTCAGAGAGAGGAAGCACACGCGAGCACATGAGTCGGGGAGAGGGGCAGAGGGAGAGAGAGAATCTTAAGCAGGCTCCATGCTCAGCTGGGAGCTGGCGCGGGACTCAGTCCCACAACTCTGGGATCATGACCTGAGTGGAAAATCAAGAGGTGGTCACTCAACCGACTGCGCCACCCAGGCGCCCCTGGATCTGCATCTTTTGATTTAACAGTGTAATCAGAGGAGGGTGGGCCCCAAGCTAGAACCGGGACTGCTAACCCTCAAGCCTTGACAGCCTAGAAGCTCTACAGTTTTTGGTTTGGGCAGTTTGTTCTCCAGATGTCCTGTGGGTCTCCTAAAAGAGAACTCTTCAGAACTACAGTAGTTAAGAATGATGAGGAACTTGAGATTTAGGGATTCAGCTGTCTGAAAGTGCATCTTAAAGAGGTTAAACTTCTCTCCCTTCCGTTCCACGCCCCCCCCGAAAAAGACAAAGAAACTCAATTCATTTCTGTATTTGAGGCAGTCTGGCCCTCGGAGCTTGGTGTGCAGCTGCTGTTAAAGGACAAATGTTAGGGTGGTTTTCACAGCCTTTGGCTGACATGCAGGGCTAGTGTTACCCGGGGTCACGAACGGGTAGCAGAGGGGCTGGAAGAGCTGAGGAAGGCTTGGAGGAGGGAACATTCGAGTCAGAGCTAGGGAGTCTTTAGGAAGGGGCCATCTGGGCTGCCTCGGGGCTGGGCAGTGAGGGACTCTTCGGGGGTTGGAGCGGCCAGCCTGTCCTGCCAGGTGGCTGTGTTCAATGTGCTCGTTCTCTCTCCTCAGTTGAGAAACCTGCTGAAGTGGTATACCAAGGAGTTCAGAGACCCTCTGCTACAGGAACCCCCAGCGTGGTTTAAGTCCTTCCTGTTTTGCGAGCTCGTGTTGCAGCTGCCTTTCTTCCCCATAGCAGCCTATGCCTTCTTCAGAGGTTGGTAACTGGGGGGGAAAATCCCATTTGTGCCCTGATACCCAGTCCCGGAAATCTTTGGGGGAAGTATCTCAGAGGAGAGTGATCCCTGTAGTCTGAGGGTCACCTAGGGTGGGGTGGGAATGGCCAGATCTTGTAAAGGGACATCCGTGTGGCTCAGGTGGATGCCTGTGTGGGTAGCTGAGCCGAAGGACTGTCACCTGGAGATCTCTCCTACACCTGAGGCTGCTTCAAGATCGAACTTGTTCCTGTTTGTTGTCTTTTTTTTTTACCCCTGCAGAATTTATCATTAGCTTTTATTTTTCTGATTTGGGGAGCACCATGCTGGCTTTTCAGCGGTAGCATCAGGCTAATCCCTGAAGGGCTTAACTGCTCATTTATTCTTACAGTGTTCCCGTGTGACTTAACGCTTTTAGAAAGACGGGGGCCATACTAATGTACGTGATCACTGAGCTCATACAACCAGTTTCCCACTGGAGCTCCCAAATCCATCTCCGCAGAATCTGTTGATCTTCTATTTAACAGATGCTGTGGGCAGGCCCTTCCCCCTGCCTTTTAGGCCAGACTGGTGTAGATCGTAATGGCCGTTTTACTGCCCTAGAGTTTCTTTTTCTTCCTTTCTTTTTTTTTTTTATTTTTTGTTTCTGAGGAAACCTAAGTGGGGGTGGGGCAGAGAGAAAGTGGGATAGAGCATCCAGAGTGGGCTCGGTGTTGACAGCAGAGAGGGCTCAGACTCGTGAACCCCGAGATCATGACCTGAGCTGAAGTCAGACACTTAACTGACTGAGCCACCCAGGCGCCCCACTAGAGTTTTTCTGAATTAAATTCCAACCCCCACCCTTGGCGCTTTAGCAGCCGGTGGGCTAGAGCCCCAGCTGTGTGCATTAGGAGATACTAGAACACATCGGGTTTTCCATTTGTTTGTACTTGGAAAGGAGGTAGATTCCGTGGAAAGGGAGCAAGCGTGGAGACTGGCGTGGGCGCCCCTGGAGTCGTGGACATACCTAACGCTTACCTCTTTCTCTTCCCCCAACTTCAGGAGGCTGCCGGTGGATCCGCACCCCTGCAATCATCTACTCCGTCCACACCATAACAACTTTAATTCCAATTCTCTCCACATTGCTATTTGAGGATTTCTCCAAAGCCAGCGGTTTCAAAGGACAAGGACCTAAGACTTTCCACGAACGACTAACCCTCGTATCTGTCTACGCCCCCTACTTTCTCATCCCTCTTATGCTTCTGCTTTTCATGTTGCGGAGCCCCTACTACAAGTATGAGGAGAAAAGAAAGAAGAAATGAGAGAAATGACCACTGGCCCGGCGGGAGATGCCCACAGGGCAGTTTCCTGTTGGACCCGGTATGCAGAAAACTGCTCAGAACCCATGTTTTTCGGTAGCGTTCGAACCACACCAGCAACACACAAGAGCAAGACACTGGCAGGAGCCCCATCAGACCCTCCCCTTCTGAGAACACTGGCACCAACGGACCAATCACCTGAGGACGGACAGGGGGGTGTGGGCTGGGTTATAGGGAGGTGGAGCCAAATCCCTCACTGTGTGCCCAAGTTCCGCCGGGAGCAGGACCAGACCAGAAACTGGATAAACTTCGGAGACACGTGGCCTGCTTGGCATGTTCATGAGTCACTTGACCCACAACGTACAGGTGACTAAACCCTCGATTCATGACTCTCTACAGCGTGTCATTAATCAGCAAAATGAAGAGTGGGATGTTTCAGGCCATTTTTAAGTTTAAAACTGTGACTTTAATATTCATTGAAAATGATATCCTGGTTTTTTTTGCCTCCCCCTCTGGTGGGGGGAAAGGTCCTGTAAGAGGTTTAGACTTGGGTTTTGCTCAACGGTTAGCTCTGGCCTGACTTTCAGAAATGGGTTACGCTGGAAGGTGTTTTCTTTCTGTCTTAAACGGGTCATCCCAGAAAAGATTTTAAGTCTCCTTAAAGACTGTTTTTACAGACCACCTGACATAAGTCCCGCTCTGAGGTCTAGTGTCTCAAACCTGTTCTGGAAGTGTGCTTCCGGGGGGATAACGTCACCTCCCTGATAGTTTCGTCGTCATTCCTGGCTTGTTCTCTAAGTAGAGGGGCAGCTGGGCCTGACGTGTCCGTTGTGTAAATACAGGAGCTCTTCGTTGGTGTTCCTTAGTTTTCTCTAAATATGTACTCAAGGCCAACTCAAAACCAAAAACTCAGTGAATGCATGGAAAATGGTAACTGGTCCTTCCTCTTTTTATCTGTTTTGCTCACAAGTCATAATGGTCTGATTGATGGGGTACCATCTGACACCTGTGTCCGGTCCCAATAAAGGTAGCTGCCGACGACTGCCTGCTTCGTTTCGTGGCCTGGGGGCTAGAGCGTCCGGGGTTCCCTTACAAGGTGTTCCATGTACACTTCAAGGGCAACAGGAAAAGAGGCAGATCAAGCCATTTGAAAACAATAATTTATTGCTCTTCCTTTGAAAGCTTTGTGACTTTACAAAAAAAAAAAAGGGTCAAAATTTACAGACTGCTCAGTTCAGGCTAAGAGTGCCAAGAGGTGAGAGCCTGGACCACTGTGGCCACAGGGTAACTGCCCAGCAGATGTTTGCTGACATTTGCAACAAGCCCCCCAGACTTGCTTACTGCCTTCAGAGATGCTGCATTTTTTCCACACCATCTCTCAGGACATACTTGGGTCATTGGTCAAGTCACTGGATTGGTACAGAGGTTTTTTGGGTTTTGTTTTTTGCCCGGCCTGCTATAAAATGAAATTTCCAGTTCATTTCTGAAAAATAAATTGGTCAATAAATTCATTTTGTTCTGCTTCTACTTTACACAAAGCTTCATATTCAACCCGATACCTGAAAAACAAAATTGTTAGAAGCCCTAAAAATGGATGAAATAAACCGTGGACTTAATTCTTCTAGAGAAGAATGTAAGCGATTTAAACGATCCCAAGAAATGGTGTGAGTTCATAATGAAGAAGTTAGGGTAAGAAAGAAAGAAAGAGGCCAAGCCCAACCCAGGGCCACCCGTGAGAAGTCTCCAGGTCTTTTCCTCTAGGAGAACTAGCCAGCTTCACGGACTCGCTACCGGAGCCTTCTAGCTCCCAGACCACTAGAGGTGGTTTTGTATTAACACGTGTCCTTTTTCCTTCTCATTAAACAGGACTTGACTTTATTTTTTTAAGTCTTCAAGTCAGATGGCAAGTGGGACCCTGTTCCCGAGAGGACAATGGTGAAGAATAAGGACAAGAGGTGGCCGCTCAAGAAGGAAGAATAGAACTGCAGTCGAGCAAAGAACTTTCTTTGCACCCTCACCTCTTACCTTTCAAGCTGCATTTTCTTTTCTGCTATTAGGGCTCGGAGTTGCTGCTGTTGGGCCTCCCTCTGCTTTGCTATAGATTTGAGCAAGTTCCGAGCACCAATGGCCTAGAAAGAAGGTCGTGGCTTCGTTAAAACCGTCTTCAGCTAAGTCCTCAGCCGAGGGAGGGCCACTCGGGGGCGGTCTCAGTGCCCAGCCGGGGACAGATCGTCGAGCCCCAGAGCTTCTGGAATAACCTGATGAGTTATTCCAGAGGCAGCTCAGGGGCAGATCCGCGAGTCCCCCCGCCCCCGGAGTCTGGCACACGGGTGCCAGTGGCCCCTCTGGTGCACCATGGAGCCCTGTGTCCTTTGCCGGGTCACTGACCCCCCCGTATGCCTTCTTCACTTACAAAAGCATAAGACCACCCATCTCAGCGATGTGAACATGAAACGATGACAGTGTACTAGCATAAAAGAGTTCGACTAGCGGAAAGAGTTGACTGGGAATTGTTACTTAGAATCCCGTTTTACTTAAAGAAAATAATCCCATCCCCCCCCCCCCCCCCCCCCCCCCCCAGCAAGAAAAAGTCCAGCGGGCAGGAGGAGAGGCTGGTGAACCGTGTCCCAGGCCAAGATGGAGAAGGCACGCTCATCTTACCTTCATCTTCTCGTTTTCTGCTTCTTTTGCCAGTTGGTCAACAAGCTCAATTAAACCACCAACTATTTTCTGAAACTGGCCAATTTCTTTTAGGGGAAGAACAGAAAACAAAATGTTTTATTTTCTCTGCATCATCACTCCCTTCGTGTCCCCTTGTGGCGAGAGCAGGGCTAATGTGTGTCCGAGCGGTCTGGCGCACGGGCCTAGAGTCTTCCACCCTTGGTCTAAACCCAGAGGAGGGTGGCCAGGCGCTCAGAGCTGGAGCAGGGCACGCTTGGACCTTGAGTCCCAACTGAGCCAGCCGGTGACTGTTGACCTCTGTCTGCGAGGCTCCCGGTGGCCCATCCTCCACACAGACTCCATCCAGCCCTCCCCAGGAGTGACAGGAAGCACAAGGGGCATGTCCCCAGAAGGACGGACTCAGGACGTGAACACAGTCTCCTGACTGGCCACAGATATGGCCCTAGGTTTTCAGTTAATGGTGGTGGGGGGGGCAGGGGTTTGCCCACGGAGGGCAGAGCTAATAAAGAGCTCAAAGCATTCAGGTGCTAATCTCCCATTCGCTTTTTTCAACGTCCTTGGGTGTGGGGGGACCTCATCCTACTGAGGAGTGAACTAGGACCCAGGGAGGAGGGACGGCATGCAGTCAGAAGACTGGCAAGGGAGCCCAAGCTACCTTTCACCAGCCAAGCTCTCTGCAGACTATGGAGTGCCCAGAAGGCTCAGAAATCCCTGCTTTAACCACATGTGCTCTGTATTCGCTGCTCTCGGGTGCTTGCCTCCCGGGACAGGAGGTGTCCTGGGTATCCAGCTAAAATGGGACTTCGTTGAGTCTGTTGAGCTACTTCTAGAGACTCCAGTTAATCAGTTTTCACTCCAAGTGATGGTAATCCCGCGACTGAGAAAACTATTTCTTCCAAGAATCAGGAGTACCTAACTACTCCCACCCCCAAGCCACAGTTCTGCTTCCGTGAGGTTCAAGGTTTCTGAGAGGGAAGAAAAGCAACGATGGGACATCCTCCACATCTCACCATTTGTTCCGTTTGGTGCTCTGTGTGGGGCCACATGGGCGCATTACAGGGCGGGCAGACGAGGTGGTTAGTACATGGGAATCGATAAAGGCCGGGCGCCACTTCCAGGGAGCCACAGCTCCACTCTGGCAGGGACAAGAGCTGGGGGCTGGGCGGGGGCGGGACACAGTTGGAAGCTCAAAGCTGAGTGGCACCACGTCTCCCCAAATGACACTCACTGTCCACAAAGTCCTTGCACTCCTCCTTGAGCTCTGTGGTCTGCTGGGTAACCTCAGGGTCCAATACCCGCAGCTTGTTCAGCTCATCAAAGTGCAGCCCCGCTTCACCCAGGATGTCCTTGGCCATAGCTGTGAAGAAACCAGGCTGAATCCCCAATCGCTTCCCAGCCACCCAAGGAAATGCCTGCTCCCAGGCCAGCCCCGCTCCCGCCCCCAGACACCAACGCCAAAAACCCAGATGCTCTTCCTCCAAAGGCTCCCCCTTCCCTCTGCCTCCACCTCTCTGAGCCTCACCTGTTTCCCTTCCAGCTTCCCTAGAGGAGAGAAGTTCTGCTCTGAAGGGCTGAGAGTGGCAGCCGGGAGGAGGTGTGTCATAGGAGCAAGGGTCAGGAAAGAATAAAGTCCAGCTGCTTGTCACAGGCACCGTTCATTCAACACACATTTCTTGAGTGCCTTCTACAGGCCAACACTGCTAGATGCTGGGGGTACAAAGATGAGTGGAGCATGGTGCCCGCCCGGGAGGAGCGCATAGTTTAGCTGGAGGAAGACAGACACGTAAACTGAAAAGTACACTGTGTTAAGTGCGTTTACAGATATATCGCGCAAGCGCTGGAGAACACAGCGGTCAGCCTGGGGCGGAGGAGTCACATTTGAACTAAGCGTGAGAAGCCATGGCATATTTATCCCCAATTAGGTGCCCAAAAGGACATGAAAAAGCTTTTCAAATACAGTACTGGAATAACACCAAAAGCAAACGAGGAAATCTGCGTGAATTAAAGATCAGAGTTAAAAAAGAAGCCGGGAGGAAGAACCTTACCCACAATGTACGCCACAGGCTACTGTACGCTTGCCTGAACTAGGACTAGAGTTGGTTCAGTCTCTCTCCAGCAGAAAACACAAAAAGGAATGACGTGTCAGCAAGCACATACCAAGTAAGGAGGCCGGGGAAAGGCATTCCAATCAGGGAAAATAGCACAGACACGAGCCTGAAGTCACTGAGCGGCCTAGAATATGGAAGGACCGAGGATGTAGCTGAAGAGGTCGGCTGGCGCCAGATCAGGAAGACCGTGTGCGCCAAGCTAAGGCATTTGGGTTTCTTTCTGTGGGCAGGAGAACCAGCAGGGATATCTTTTCCCCTCCCAGGCCACCTCGAACTCCTGGGTCCAAAGGATGCCTCAATTCCGGGAAACTGAAAACGCACCCTCATTCTGGCTCAAAACAAAACAAAACAAAATGGGCACCTGGGTGGCTCAGTCGGTTAAGCATCCGACTCCGGTCATGATCTCACAGTTGGTGGGATCGAGCCCTGAGCAGGTGCACAGCCTGCCTGAGATTCTCTCTCTCCCCTCTCTCTCTGCCCCTCCTCCACTCACGCACACTCTCTCCCCTGCTCTCTCAAAAAACTAAGTAATAAACATTTTTTAAAAACCCTAAAAAAACGAAAAAATGAACATTAAAAAATAAAATAAACAAAAGGACACGCCCTGTCTACAAAGGGAGGCAATGCTACTTAGGGCTAGCCGTTGGCCGCTATACCAATTCCAAGACCCCAGGTCTTCCAAAGGCTACCACCACCTGGTGCTGTGCCTGCCCTTTCCTCTGCCCCCACCTCCCCCAGCTGTTTCCCTTCTGGCTTCCTTAGAAAAGTTCTCTTCCACATGGGGTGACTGTGGGAGTAACTTTCCAGAGCAGGTATACCATAGGAGGAGCGATGGTTAAAAAAAGAATTCAGTCCCCCGGTTACCAGAACTGATTTTCAAGACAGCCAAAAATCCAGATTTATACATGAAATCTGACTTTTAAAGGAAAGCGCTGAATTCAAAAATTTAAAGGCAATACCACATCCAACACTGTGGGCCAACAAATGCGTGTCTACAGACTGTCTGACTGTGGCCCAGAGCCTTTCGCCTACTGGAAGGAAATAGGTTAGCATCTTCCTTTTGAAACATTTTAATCATCCCAAGCTTCCTTTTAATCAAGCTTTAAAAAAATTTTTTTTAACGTTTATTTATTTTTGAGACAGAGAGAGACAGAGCATGAACCAGGGAGGGGCAGAGAGAGGGAGACACAGAATCGGAAGCAGGCTCCAGGCCCTGGGCGTCAGCCCAGAGCCCGACGCGGGGCTCGAACTCACGGACCGCAAGATCGTGACCTGAGCTGAAGTCGGACGCTTAACCGACTGAGCCACCCAGGCGCCCCTTTTTAATCAAGCTTTTTATTGTTTTTAATATAGTTGCCTCTCGAAGTACTTCTTTTTTTATTTTTCAATTTTAATCAAGCTTTTTAAAAGGTCTGTCTTCCTGCTTTTTCTGTGACATTTACACATACAGTCTGAGCACTGAACACCTACCAGGTGATTAATCAGACCAACTGCTCTAGAAAGCTTCCAGTAACCCGAGGGAGCAAATAATCTGCTTCGACTGCCACTCCCGTCCCTGAGAGGAGGCGTTTATTCAGAGACACCTTCTGAGTCCCTGCTCTGGAGACAGAGTAGTGAAGAAGATGCTTCAGTTCCTGACCTCTGGACAGAGAGTAAACAGATAACCACAAATTGTGACAACAGTATGAGGAAAAGCACTGGGTGAAGATCCTGAAGCTAAAAGAAATGTAATGCCTTCCAAGAACCCAAAGCCTAGTGTGGTTAAAACCCAGTGAACAGGGGGAGTGTGGAACAGGGTAAGTCTAGATGGGGAGGCCAGCGCTGGTTCATGGAGGGCTCTGAAAGCCGCAGTCAGGAGCCCGGATTTTATCATAAGGGTAGCGGGCAGCCAGCAGATTCTCAGCAGAGTGGTCCTATCTGCCTTTTGGAATGATCACTGTGACCCAGGATGGAGAATGAATTGGAGGAAACAGAAGAGAGAGGCTACACCTACCTTGGTTCATCACTGTAACCCTAGCATCTAGCACGGTGCCTGCACATACCGAGTGCTTGCACTCAGCAAATGTTTGTGGAATGAATGTGGAAATAGAGAAGGCTCTTACAGTAACGAAGGCTTGGAGCTGAAGCAAAGTGTTCCAATTTGCGACGTTATGTAAGCCGAGTTGATAGCATTTAGTAAAGGACTGGATGAACGTAGGAGTTTGGGGATGAGGGAAGGAAAGAGGCCAGATTTCCATGTATCTGGCTTGAGCGCCAACTGGATGTTTGGAGGGCAGAGTTGAATGAGATGGATAGGACCGGAGAAGGAGGGTAGGGTGAGGGTTCCCAGCCAACTATCAGATTCTTTTCCAACTCCCACCACACGTGCGTGTCTGAGCATCTGAGGAACACCGGGCACAAGAGCCGCATGGAGCTCCCAGAAGATGACAGCGGCGACACTCTCCGCCCCAGTTCCACTCCCCGCACTGCAGGCGCCGTCGGCGGGGTGGGGGGAAGGGGCACGGGACATACATACACAGTTAGGAAGACCTGGGTGGTGGAGCTGGCTGTCCACACTACGCAAGCGCCTTGAACTTATCTGAGCCGCAGTTTCCTCCCAAGACCATTGTTAGCACCAGCGCGTTAAGTTCCAGGCCCAAGCTGGGTGTAACACCGCTCGCAAAGAACCGCGCGGAGTCCCCACGTTTCTTTCGGCCTGTCAGATTCACTCGCCCCGGGTCCGCCCGCGTCCCCCGGCCCGCAGTCACTGCCTACCTGCCAACCCCGTACCGGCGGCGCGCTGCGGCCCGGGCTGATTCCGACAGGCAGCTGCTCTCCCCGGTTAGCGGCAGCCGGTGCCTCGCCCGCCGGACTCAGCCGCTGCCACGGATACAGGACCTGTTTACCCACAACGTCATTACCTGACTGCGGAAGCACTTACCCCGCCCAGCCCGCAGAGCCTGCTGGGAAACAGAGGCCCGCGAGGAGGGTCGGCTGCCTACAAGACCCAGAGACCTTTGCGCCGGAAAGGCCGCAGGAAGTAGCTGTGCGCTCTCCGTGGAGTACTCCCAGGAGCCCTTCCCTCCCCCCGTGATTGGGTGCTGGGCATGCCGGGCCGTGGAGTCCGAGGCTGCCGGGCGGGCGGGGTTGCGCCGCGGCTCGGGGCGGGGTCCGCGCGCGGGCGAAGGATGTGAGCTCACAGCCCGGGATTGCTGGCGGGCAGGCGGCCACAGCCCTGGGCGGCACGGGGTCGGCTTGCAACCCAGCTAGGAGGAGAAGCGCCCCCCGCGGACGGTGAGAGCCGGGCTGAGGTTGCCCTGGGGGACAGGATGGACGGGCCCGGGGCTGGAGCAGAGAGCCCCACCCAGTCCTGGGGAAAAGGCATGGAAGGGCTTAGGGGAGATGGAGAGCTCACATCTTCCACTGGGATGGGTGTCAGAATCGGTCTGTTTCTCGGTGGTGAGGAGGGGTGCGGGCCGGGGAAGAGCACAGGGAGGCTGGGTCTCGCCAAATCTTTCCAGACCCTTTGGACGAAGCCTCACACCTAAGATTTCTGCTAGATCCGCCCCCTCAACCCAAGATCGGCTGCCCCCACCCTAGTGTGATGAATTTCTGGGTCCTTCTTCCTTTAGGACCCCACCTTTTTCCATGGCCGTGGTTGTTTTCCTGCCCTTAATTCTGCTTAGCTTCCCATCAGCCTCGCTGAGAGAGACGGATACGCCCTCAGCCCCAGGCAGACATCCCCAAATATCCACACACAAAGTCCGGAAGGAACAGCACTGAGGCTATCAGTGGAAACTTCATTCCCAGTGGAATTACTTTGTGGGGCGTCACCTGCCACAAGATTCCTGGAGCCCATTGGTCTGGGAAGAATCTGAGCGGGCGGCATCTGAGCTGACGTGGTCCAGGGCTCAAAGCAATTGCTTTGTAGGCTCCGTTGGCCGCCGCCTGGCCTTTGAGTTCCTTTACTTTAGCAGAGCATAGGTGCGCTTTCTTTATCCTGGGGAAATCGGGGCCAGACACAAAATACACCTGGAACTTGCTAAAACCTGTTAAGGGGTGGATTTATTCCTTTGGGGTGAGTGGAGGAAGGTGATTTCACACTATTCGTGTGTTACTTACTGATTGGGCAATCCGCCGGTGAGGGTTCATCTCATCCTTGGGGCAAGTGAGTCTCAGAAATTCAGAACTTCTCACAGCAACCTCTCTGGCCCTTTTTTGGACGGACATTCTTCCTAGGGACCTACCTAAATCTTTTTTAGGGACAATATCAATCTAACTGACATGTATTAAATACTTTAAAAGGTGCTTGGCATTGTGCTAAGTGCTGTTTTGGATAGCAGAGCAGTAAAGTTGGGGAAGCCAGCACACTGCTCCTGTATTGAACTTGCAGGAGGTGATGTGTAACTGTAAATGTTTGCGTGTTGTGATAACTACACGAGGCAATTTCACCTTTTCTCGGTCTCTGTGACCAACAGTGGAGTCCAGGCCTTCAGGTCTTGCCTAGACTGCTGCTTCCTCTGGTCTTTGCACGTGCTCTCTTGCACTCTTTAACAGTCCATTCTCTACACGGCAGCCAGAGTGATCTTTTCAAAGTGTGAGTAACTTGGATCCTATCACTCCCCTGCTGAAAACAGTCCAATCGATTGCTGTTGCAGTTAATATAAAATGCAGACTCTTTCGGGGCACCTGGGTGGCCCAGTCGGTTAAGCGTGCAACTTTGGCTCAAGTCATGATCCTGCAGTTCACAGGTTCGAGCCCCACATCGGGCTCTGTGCTGACAAGTCAGAGCCCAGAGCCTGATTCAGATTCTGTGTCTCCCTCTCTCTCTGGCCCTCCCCTGCTCATGCTCTGTCTGTCTCTGTCTCAAAAATAAATAAAAACATTAAAAAAAATTTTTTTTAACGCAGACTCTTTAAATTTTTTAATGTTTATTTACTTTCTTTTAAATTTTTTTAATGTTCATTTTTGAGAGAGAGAGAAAGAGAGAGAGAGAGACAGCGCAAGTGGGAGAGGGGCAGAGAGAGAGAGAGAGAAGGTAATCCAGCAGGTTCCAGGCTCCCACTGCAGACAGAGCCTAGGGGTGTGGCACTCCAGTTCACGAACTGTGAGATCATGACCTGAGCCCAAGTCGGAAGCCCAACTGCATCACAAGAGCCCCCAAGCACTCCTCCTGTTTATTTTTGAGAGAGAGACAGACAGAGTGTGGGGTGAGCAGGGAGGCAGAGAGAGAGGGAGACACAGAATCCAAAGCAGGCTCCAGGCCCCCAAGCTGTCAGCACAGAGCCCAATGCAGGACTCGAATGCAAAGCAGACTGCATTTACCTGAGCTGAAGTCGACACTAACACTGAGCCATGCTTCCTGCCTAAAAAATGCAGACTCCCCTTAATATGATCTGCCCCTCATGCTACCTCCATGGATGATGTGCACTAGACATCTTGGCCTTATTTCTGCTCCTAAAACTTGTGTCTAACTGAGAGTTTTGCACTTTCATTTCTCCATCTGTCTGAATGCCAGACTTCACAGCTGGAATAAACAGCTTCCAAAGAGGCTTTCCTGTACTATTAGCTACTAATCCAGTCAAATTTTGTCACTAGAAGGGGTTTATTTATTGCATTTCTTTTTTTTTTTTTTTTTTTTTTTTTTTTTATTTTTTTTTTAATTTTTTTTTATTTTTTCAACTATTTATTTTTGGGACAGAGAGAGAGAGAGAGCATGAACGTGTGGGGGGAGGAGGCAGAGAGAGAGGTGGGAGACACAGTAAAGTTTGGTGTTCCAAAGGCTCTGAGCCATCAGCCCAGCATTCACGGGCTCGGAACTCCCGGACCACAGATCGACCTGGTATTGAAGTCGGACGCTTAACCGACTGCGCCACCCAGGCGCCCCTATTTATTGCATTTCTTACCTTCTGGAACTGCTCGCTTATGCATTCATTTTCTAGCTAATTGTCTGGATCCTCCCCCTAGAATGTAAGCTCCGTGAGGCCATGACTTATTGTCTTCTGTATCCTCAGTGCCTGGCACATACCAGGGGCACAATAAATGCTAACTCTTATTGTTTTTCTTCTGGTTAACAGTGTGATGCTTCTTTATACTCCTTCGAGGCAAGGTCACTATCTTTTCATCTCTCTGTTCCTACTGCTTAACCTAGTAGGCACTCAGTATTGTTTTATTGCTGAATGAATTAAATGAAGTAATGTATATATTAAGTGCCTAGATTAGTACCTAGACCATAGTAAACATGCAGTGGATGTTTGCTTTTTTTTTTTTTTTCAGTGAATGCATTTTAGTGATTCCTTAGGAAACCGAAGCATATAGAATCTAGATCACGAGGAGTGACCTGGCTGTGCCCTCCTTTGCTTCCTCGCTCCTCCCTCCTATGAATGCCTATCAGCGTGTTTCAGTTTCCAAATCACTTAATTGCTTTTAGGTTTATCATCTGATTTCTTTGGAGCCCTTTCTCCCCAGTCTTGTGGGTAGAGCGAAAGGAAGAGATGGGGCTGCTGGGCCTCCTGTCAGGAAAAAGAAGTAAAAATAGCCATCCTGTCGTTGTTCTCTCCTGAAAAGTGGTGACAATTTCAGGAACTTGGGACAGGGCTGGGGCCAAGAAAGGGGAAGGTCAGGAAATCCCCCTGGGGCCAGAGTAACCTCTGCCAGGAACGTTGGACGGTGCCCTCCCTCCTGGCTCATTCCGGGCTCGCCTGAAGCTGCTTTTACTTTCCTTTCTGAGGCCAGACTCCGGGCGGCGCTCACAGTCAGCACTGGTGCGGGCTGCTTCTGAGCAGCCTGGAATCTTTCGAAAGGAAGCGCATCCTGTCCCTCTGGCTCCTGGGAATCTCCTGCGCTGGCAGGATTCCCAGTAGGTTTGGCGGGAAGTCTTGGGTCCTGGGAACCTTGGGAAGAAAATAATTGGGATAGGACTGTGGATCGCCAGGGTACAGACTTCCGCTGCCCAGTCTGTGCCTCCAGCATCTCCGACTAACTCCAGGGGTTTGCTAGGCCTCCTTGCTGCCTAGAGCTGAGCCGAGTGTCAGGGAGGCTGGTGAGATGGTGAGTGGGCTCTGGGAGACTGCTCTGGTTCCTGGTACCGGAAACAATAGCAGGAGTGTCTTCTTTCGCTATTGCCCTAGGGCCTTAGCCTCTGCGAGGTCTAGGCAGCGGTCAAGGAGAGAATGACTGCACGGTCTCCTGGGATCCCCTGGCCCCTCTCGGCCGAGGGCTGTCCTCTGCTGACTCCTGTCTCCTCTCCCATCTCCTGTTCACAGTGCTGAGAGTATGAGGCTCTGGCCTCTACTGGCCGCTCGCTCGTGATCCTTCCACCACGGCGGAGCCTTCCAAGCCGACCTCCTGCCGTGTGGTGATCTACCTGCAGCGGGAGATGTCAGGGGATACCTGTCTGTGCCCAGCGTCAGGCGCCAAGCCCAAGCTAGGCGGCTTCAAGGGAGGCGGCCTGGGCAACAAATACGTGCAGCTCAATGTGGGTGGCTCCCTGTACTACACCACCGTGCGGGCGCTAACCCGGCACGACACCATGCTCAAGGCCATGTTCAGCGGGCGCATGGAGGTGCTGACCGACAAAGAAGGTGAGGCGTCGGGGGCTTGTTGGGCTGGCTTGAGGAGGGAAGGAAGTGTCCCTGAGGAAGTGCCTTTGGGGCAGCGCTTACGCCTGGCAGAACTAGACTCTAGATCGACTTTTCCTGTTACCTAGTACAGGACTCCTTCGCCTGGAGTCCTCGGTAGAGCATCGGGATTCTTGGAAATCGGACGTGGAACGGTGTGTGCTTACCCGCTTTCCAGGGAGGAGATCCATACTTCTTAACTATTCACAGAAGACTAGATTCTCACAGGAACCATTGCTGTAGTGACTAGGCAGTACACGGAAGACAAGCAGGGCCCGGGGGTTTCCGTGCTCCCGGGAGGCGGGCCTGAGCCGTCCTGAGCTTCGGCCTCTGTGGGCTCTCTCAGGGCCCGGAGGGCCTCCGTCCCCACAGCACGTGCTGGTCAGTTCTTGGTCGAAGAACAGCCACAGGCCTAAGAGCTAGAGGTTGTGTTCTGCTTCTGTTACCCTACGGTGGGGGCTCTGCGCTTGCATGCTGCTTACCACCCACCACCAGGCTTGTCAGGTGGCCTTCTCCTGCTGCTTGCGGCCTGGAGGCAGAGAGTCACCGTCTGGGGCCTGTCTGCATCCCCAGGCTGGATCCTCATAGACCGATGCGGAAAGCACTTCGGCACCATTTTGAATTACCTCCGAGATGACACCATCATCCTCCCACAAAACCGGCAGGAAATCAAGGAATTGATGGCTGAAGCAAAATATTACCTCATTCAGGGGCTGGTGAACATGTGCCAGACTGCTCTGCAGGTACGGAGATACGGTCGCGTTAGGTTGAGGAGGAAGGGAGTTGGTCCTGTGCTTTGGGGACACTAAGGTCCAGTTCCCGGAAGGCTGTGTGACGAGTGCCGTGAGTCCAAACCAAGTTAGATACACCAGGTGGGTGTTGCCCAGGCCAAGGACACTGGCAGCCAGTCCATTTGTAAGGTGACGGACTCAGGCGGTATGACTAAGCCCAGCTTCCGGTTTCTATGCCTTGATATCTGGATTTTAGGTTTTCTGGAAACGGGGTTCTGCCTGCGGGCCGGCAGTTTCTGTTGCCAGATGCCTCCACAACAAGCAGAGGGTGGCCTTGGCATAGGGGCTCTGACGGCTCCTGGGGAAAGCCTGGCTTAGCCTGGCAGGCAAGAGAGCTCAAAAAAGATTCTCGGCTGTGTGTGTCACCCAGGACAAGAAGGACTCCTACCAGCCCGTGTGCAACATCCCCATCATCACATCCCTGAAAGAGGAAGAGAGGCTCATCGAATCCTCCACCAAGGTACTGGCACCTCTGAGGGCTGCGGGCAGGGGCGGATGGGACCCTGGCCTGGCCCTCACGCTCTCCTCCCTCCCCAGCCCGTGGTGAAGCTGCTGTACAATAGAAGCAACAACAAGTATTCCTACACCAGGTAGGGTGGGCGTCTTGGGGCCGAGGGGGTGGGCGCCGGGGCTGGGGGAAGGCCCGCAGAAGTAGCTAGAACGACTGGCCAGCCAGCAACGGGGCGGCAGACCCAAGAGAAGCCGCCTGCACTCCCGGCAGGGTTGGGAAGGGCCCAGGTCTCAGGAGGGAAGAACGGAGAGTAGAAGGGAAATCAGCAGAGGCGTCTGGAACCTGGCGCGGGGCCCCGGCTGAGGATATAGATGAGAATGAACACGGAACAGCCCCCTACCCCAATGTGCCACGTCAGGCAGCTTGCCAGGTGTCTTCCCAGCATTATCTTATGAGGTGGACGAGGACGTAAGCCAGCCATTGTGCTTCACTGCTGGGCCACAGTTAGCTAGACCCAGAAGGCCGCAGGCTCAGTAAGTCCTGTGGACGGGCCTGTTGCCAGCATCACCCCTACAGCAAGGGAGGGGATCCTCCTGCCTCGATGGCAGCGAGACTCCTTCCTTGTGGGCCTGATGAGAGGAGACCTCCCTCCTTCAGGTCTTTCTGATTTAACTTGTTTTTTATGCGTGGAATTTTTTTTAAGTTTATTTTTACTTAGAGCGCACGCGTGTGAGTGCATGCAAGTTGGGGAGGGGCAGAGAGCAAGAGAGAGCCCCAGGCAGGCTTTGCATTGTTAGTGCAGAGCCCGATGCAGGGTTCAAACTCGCGCACCATGAGATCATGACCTGAGCCAAAGTCAGACGCTTGACCAACTGAGCCACCCAGGCGCCCTTCTCTCTGCTTTTAACTTAAGACCAACTCCCCTCTTTTTCCTCACAGGCCCCCAAACCCAGAGGGTGCCCGTGACCCTTTCTCTTCCTGTTCCCTCTGGCATCTTGGCTTTTTCTCAGTTGTGCATGATGGGGAGGGACAGAGAGGAGACGCCCAGCTAGCCCCCTCTCTTGTGCCAGAACCTCATTCCTGGGCCCACCGGCCTTCATGGCTTTTTTTCAGCAACTCTGACGACCACCTGCTGAAAAACATCGAGCTGTTTGACAAGCTCTCCCTGCGCTTCAACGGCCGCGTGCTCTTCCTCAAGGACGTCATCGGCGATGAGATCTGCTGCTGGTCCTTCTATGGCCAGGGTCGCAAGCTGGCAGAGGTGTGCTGCACCTCCATCGTGTACGCCACGGAGAAGAAACAGACCAAGGTGTGGCGGGCTTCCCTCTGCGTGGGGGGGACGGGACACACAGCAGCGCAGCCCCAGCTGTGCCTTTCACCACAGGGAGCAAAAAAGGAGTGTGGTTTGCTCTGTCTCCCCCAAACCCACGTGATGGTGCTGGGCAGTTCCAGGAGTTCGGGGAGCGGCTGGGGAGCGCTTTTCTGGGTCAGCTGAGAGGCAGGGGCCGCCGACCAGCAGGGGACAGCGTGGTGCAGGGGGAAGGACCGGGTCTTTGGAGTTGGCCCAGTTCAGGTTTGAATTCTGGTTCCGCCATTTACTAGTTTTCTGACATCGTCTGAGCCGTTTAAACCACGTGAGCCTCAGCTTCCTCATCTGCAAACATGGGGACGACAGTGTGAATTTACCAGAAGCAGAACGAACACGAGACGGCTCCCAGGAGGAGCGGTGCAGGCTGGCGGAAGCAGCTGCTCTGATCTCTCCTCCGGCCCCTGCTCCTTGTGGGTTCCTGGTCACTCAGCTCAGCCTCTGCAGTGACCACATGGCGCTGGGTACGGGAGGGATTTGACAGGTGACCGTTAACACGGACCCCGCGAACCCCGTTTTCCCGGGCCGCAAGCGGGTGCTGTCCTCCCCAGGGAGTAGCTGCCCTGAGAATGTTTGTATGGGGGGTGGCAGGGCTTCGCTGAGCCCGGAGGGCAGCTCGTGTGGGGGACGGTCACATGTGTGAGGGCTCAAAGCCCCGAGCTCGTGTAGCACCTGCACAGCCACTGCAGTGCCTCCAGCTGGGCGGTCTGAGGGTTGGGGGTGGGGGGGGGACAGCTTATAGGAGGTGGCCCTGCTTCCTCCTGTCATTTTGGGGGTGGGACTCCCATGTGCACGTTTCAGCGGAGTCAAGATTCAGGGACAGGTCTCTGTGGGGGCTGGTTACACTGTGGAAGTGGCAGCAACACCCGTCACCTTCCTAAGTGCTTTCTCTTCCGTGAACTTTTTGAGCCCTCGCACCACACCTGTGAGACAGGCCGGGCTGGAAGCTCAAGTTAGGCTAGAATTCAGCTGCCTTGAACGCCATCCCTTTTTTTTTGAGAGAGAGAGAGAGAGAACACAAGTTGGGAAGGGGGGCAGAGGGAGAGAGACAGAATCTCAAGCAGGTTCCATGAGTGTGGAGCCTGGTGTGGGGCTCGATCCCGCGACCCTAGGCTCATGACCTGAGCCAAAACCGCGTCGGATGCTCAACCGACCGAGCCATCCGGGCATCCGCCCCCCAGTCTTTCATGTAATGTTCACAACTCTGAAGTAGATATGAACCCTGATTTTTTTACACATGTGGAAACCGAGGCCCGGCAGCTAGTAAATGGGGGGGCCATATTTAAGCCGAGGTCTGACCACAAAGCTCAGGCCCGACCCTCTACACGTACTAGTCTGTTGGCCTGGGACTGGGTGGGGCACGGGCAGCGTGCCACGCTCTGGCACCCTGATGTCTACAGAGCGCACCTCCTCACATCTTCAGAGAGGCCTCCCTCCCTCACGAGCCGGAAGGCCGTCTGTCTTGTGAGAGAGGTCAGGCGGCGTTGTAGAGCCAGCACAGACCCAAGGGCCCGGACGTGCGGCTCCCTCTCGTGGAGGAAACCTCATGGGGTTCTCTCGCCCCCTGATCCCAGGTGGAGTTCCCAGAGGCCCGAATCTATGAGGAGACTCTCAACGTCCTACTGTACGAGACCCCCCGAGTCCCCGACAACTCCTTATTGGAGGCCACCAGCCGTAGCCGCAGCCAGGCTTCCCCCAGTGAAGATGAGGAGGCCTTTGAACTGCGGGACCGTGTCCGCCGTATCCACGTCAAGCGCTACAGCACCTACGATGACCGGCAGCTCGGCCACCAGTCTACCCATCGCGACTGACGAGACCCTCAGGGAGTCAGGGCACAGGACACCCTGTCCCCCCTCCTGTGGAACCCTGCCCCACTGGCCACCCCACGCTGCTGCTGGCTGGGTTTCTGTCCCAGCACCCAGAGGCATGACAGGAAGTCAGAGGGCCTGAGCAGGAGAGGGACCACCTTCCTTTGCCCTGCTCCCTGAACACTTCAAGATGACCAAGTCCTGGACCCTTTGCTCGCCCTTCCTGACAGGGAGCTGCTGCTGCCCCCGGGGCCAATGGACTGACCAGCCCACCTCCCACAAAAACATTCCCCTTGGCCCTTTTTGGAGTACCCCTTTGCTCCACTGAGGGGCTACCTTTAGGCCTTTGTTGAGGTCCATGGGGAATGGGTTCGTTCTGGTGCTGTGGAGGCCCAGTTTCTCACAGAAGGTGGGGCTCCTTCTTCCTTATGGTGTTTAAGCACAGGCTTCACAATTTTGTTTTTTAAAAAATTATCTAGGAAACGAATAGTTTTAAGTCTGTAACAATGAGGGCACTGGGTATTTGTGCTACCCCTTGAGGGTGCCAGGACCCTGGGCAGGGCAGAGCCCTTGGCCTTTCCTGATGCCTTTGGGATCAGTTTCTTTAAAGCACTTTGTACTTTTATTCAGGAGATTTGTATTCTGCCCTGACCCACATCATCTTTTTCTGACCGTAACCCCCTCTTTCCTGCAGAATCAGAGAGGGGCTAGAGAAGCAATAAAAACAAAACAAAAACCACCACCACCAAAAAAAATTTACTAGCTTTGGCTTTGCTGGGCTGCCCAAGCAGGTGGCCCAGAGAGCCCGCAGGAAGGAAGGATGTTTAAATTGGGAAGCATGGTGCTAAAAAGGCCCATGAGAAAGGACATTTTACCCCAACATCTTAAAGTCACATAACTGACTCTTAGGGTCTAACATGATTGCTCTTTTTGATTCTCTTGCCCTCAAGGCATGCTTTGCTTTACTCACCAGAAAGCCAAAGAGCCACCACAGGGGCCAGGAGCATGAGCCACAGTGGGAAGGCCGTGGAGCCTGTGGGCGCTGCACTTGGATGCCCATCCGAGGACAGTGAGCATGAGCTCTGTGTCCCAAGCAGCCCTGTGCAGGGGTGGCATGTGCTTGGCCATATATCCACTGCCCACCCCGTTCTCCTGGTTTTATGTCCCGGCTGAGGGCGGTGGTTCTGCCTAGTGCTGAGCCTGGATGCAGGGTGATGTGAGCAGCCTGAGTCCCTTGAAAGGTTTCTTCATTTCTTTCTTGTTGGGTCATATGGCCACAGAGCTGCCAAGCACCAGCTTTTGGGCAAGGGTGCAAGTTCCTCCTCAGGGCTTTCGTTCACTGCCTTCTGTTTGGCTTGGCCCTTGGGAGGCTGCTCATCCAAATTCTTTTTCAAAAGAATGCTATCAGGGAGGGATCAGCCAGCCTAACAAAACAGCGTAGCCACTGGGTAGTAGCCACCTGGGAAGGAACACAGGTTATCAGGTTCATCTCTCCAGACTGCTGTCACTATAGCTAAGTGGCCTGCTCGTGGCTGACCCGATGGGCAAATGCCAGGCCAAGGTTAGCAGACACCCACAAGGACCTGAAATGACATGATGGGGCCGGAGAACTGTGACTAACCAGGCATTTACACTTGTCACAGCCTTGAAAATACAGACTTTCAGGCAAGGCACCCTGGTCATCGGCTCAAACACTTCTTTCAGCCTTCACTGGGGTAACAAGATGAAGACAAATCCATTTCTTTGGCCAGATTCCGGCTTTGGCTTTGTGGCTTTCCCACAGAGACTGGAATGCTCCTGCCGGAGGCCACTGGCCTATTTCCTCCGCTGCCCTCCTGAAGCCTTCTAATGCTCAAGGCCCAGCTCCCCACTGAGGTATTTTAATGCCTGTCCTTTGACCTCCCCAGTCCTGCAGCCTCTCTTTACTGCTTTGATATTTACATCCTCAGCTGTCTGAGTGGTGACCTGTCTCTTCCTGAGAAAGCACAGTAGTCCTGGACTGATGGAAACTATCTCCTTGGTCTTAAGAAAAATACTAACATTGAAATCACTGAAGTAACTTTAGCTTCTTTAGCCAGACTTTGTGGCATAAGGGCTTGGAGAATTTTCTTTTGAGTTCCTCAGGCCCAAGCAGAAAGCAGCTCTTGGTTTTGTGTACTTTTCAACCCTGAGCAGCCCAGGGAAAGTAAACAGAAAGCATAAATGAAGGTCAAACCTTGTCGGTTTCTGAGAAAACCGGAAACTTGCTGGTGACCCCATGTAACCAGTACCGGGTGTTATTCGATTCCTTACCTGACTGACCTCTGCCTAAAGAATGGCCCAGAACTTCTTTGTCACATAACAGCAATTCTTTGTTGCTCAGCCTAGGTGATGGAAACAAACACTAATTTCTAATAAAATCGTGTTACGCTGCAGTGGCCCGCAACTGTGCTCACGGTGGTTATAGCTGGCTCAGCACAGTGCTATGGCCCTGGTTCTCGTGTTTCTGTTCACCACCTTGTGTTTTCCCTGCGTCACAATCCTATTGCGCTCCGTGGCCCTGCAACCCTGGCTCCCCCTGGTGGAGGATTAAGGACAACACTAGTAAGGGCTGGAACTGAGATTTAATATTAATTCAAGAATAAACAACCTCTTTGACAATCACTACGGTAGGAGGGAAGCAGGAATCCTAAGATTCAGGGGAAAATGCAGCACATTTCTTCTCTGGCTCTTGGAGATGTGTGAGCAAGCAGCTCAGAAAGTAGCTTGGCTCAGTCACCGTCCATACGTACCTAAAGCTCCTCGCTGAGTTTCTGCATGGGTGGGCTGGAGGCCTGAGAGACGCGTGCTCATCTGGCAAGCCTGTTTTTCCCGGGAACTCATGTGGCTTGCTGCCCTCCTTCCCAGGCTCAGGGAAGCCAGCGATGTCCATGGCTGGCCAGTGCTGAGAGCTTGAGCCCGATGTTGGCCTCCTGCTCTGCACTTGGCAGGATAAAGAAGGGGAGTCCAGTCTAGCCCCCACCCTGCTGGCTGGGGCACCGTGACCCTGGGAAACATCCAGCCAACCCCCAGCTTCGGGAGGGAAACCCATACATACTCTAGTAGATGGGGCAGCTTCCTGGAAGGGCAGCAAGGAAAGCAACCAAAGGCCCCCAGGGCATCAAAAAGGGAGCCTGAGACCCCTGGGGGCAGAAATGGCGAGGGTGGCCAAGTGTGCACTGGTTTATTGACCAAACCTCATGTCTCAAACAACTCGTGTGACAGGCCAGGAAACCCCAGGCCCTGTGGCAGCGGAACACAGAATTCCTGGTGGAAAGGTTTACTGGAACACAGTGTAGCCAGGGGAAGCCAGCCTCAGAGGAGTCCTACACGGGTCTTCCGGAGAAAATTATACCCACCCACCAAAAAAGCCCACGATCAAATGGTGCAAACGACAGACAGACCCACTGTGGCCCATGGTAAAGAGAGAGTTCTGCAGCAATTGTGGGACCAGAGCTGTTCTTCAGGGGCCGAGCCTAGGCACTCGGGCCTCAGCTGGCCTACCAGTGAAGGCCTGAGGGTGGTGTCTTCTCATCTTTATTGCTTTCCAGAGAGAAGGGAGGGATCCGGACATCAAAGTGGGAGCCATCAGGCCTCTCGAAGCGGAACGTGCCCCTGTGGTCAGAGAGCACCTGGGTTAGAGGGAGTGAAGGCTGAGCCCCCCCCCCC